GAGAGACGAACGAGATAAATACATATGGACGAGCGTATGGTTTGCGCTTCTTATTTTAATACTGTTTCATTCGCCCCGTGTAAATGGTACAAAATATAATAATTTGAAAATATGTGTTCATATATAATTCATGAATAATATCCGCCGCATACAGACAAACAGAGAAAACAATCAAACGTGCGTATTGTTCTTACATAAGACGCCTCACATGATCCGTTTTGCTTCGAGAAGTCTTGATGAAGCCGAGGAATTGCAGGGCGGCGACCGCTTGAGTAAACCGAGCTCTGAATCCCCGTTAAGGATAAGTTACTACGTGATGAAATGCGAGATAACACGTGCGAATTATTCAAACTAGAGAGAGGGTATCTAGTTCAGGGAAGTTACGTCTACGACGGGGCTACGATTCCCGCGTTAGGAGGCGTGATATGAATTTCAAAGGCAACATGCGCGCGGTAAGACAAATCTCGTCGAGAAGAGCCGATCACGTTGAACAGGCGGGCGCAACCGAGCGAGGGAGGGAGGGAGGGAGCTCGCTTGCCTCGCGCGGAAACTTTTGCAAAGGATACTGCATTCGCGGATCCACGTCACGTTGCTCCTGCTCCTGCGCGGCCTGTGGATTCACGATCGTCAGGAACGCCTGCAACAAAGCGCGTCGATATTCGTCGTTCTGATACAGCGACGTCAAAACGCTGTGACGCCAGCGAGTCGAAGTGCAGATTAATTGGCTGATTAGGAATGCCGATGGGGACATCTACGCGGCTCAACTCCGCGAATCTCGCATTTATAATCGTTATCTCGTGACTCGCCTCGCGTGAACAATTCAGCTCTGGCTCTCGAGTTAAGTCCAAACTTTTCCGGTGAATTCATATAATATATACGTGACGTAATTGTGAGACTGCGAGTCAACTGGAAACTTCACGTCCAACTTCGGGCTCGGATCCGAGCGTCTCACGTGATGCAAGTTTCAGGTAACGACTGTAAAAACGAATCTAAGAATCTAAAGGACGAAAAGAAAAACACTCGGTTGTCGGCAAACATGCGGCATTAAAAACTCAACACGTGATTTCTCGTTAGGAGAGGCAAAGAGGGGGGAGGAAAGCAATTAACAAACTCCGGAGGCTTGTATTAAAGTCCTAAATATTAAATGTCCGCTAAGCTCTCTCCGTGATTGTCGATCGTCGACGTTGGATTGTTGAACGGAGTGCGCTCGCGTTTTCGCCGGGGCGCAATTTTCACGAGAAACATTTTACCGGCTTCCTAACAACCGGCCGGCGATAAAGCACTCGGCACCCTTTGCGCGCACGCGCGCGCGCCTTGCTTACAATGACGTGCTTGCGTGAATCACTCGCGGCGACGGCGACGGCGGCGGCGGCGGCGTGGCGGAGGCGGAGGCAGCGATTAAAATCACGAAACGGTCGGCCAGCCGGTGCGTGACCGTAAGTGTAACAGGGATTAACCTGTAAACATGAGCACAGGCCGAATTGTTACCTGCAGCCAGTCGTACATATTGATCAGCTTCCTGGACTCCAAGTGCAGCTTATAAATTATACTCAGGTCGGGAAGCGTGTGCGGAATGTCGTCGTCGTTCTCCAATTTGCAGCAGTCGCACTGAAATATGTATTTCCAATTAACCGCGTGCCACGGGCTCACTCGCGCCGCTGGCTGGATAAATCGGATAAGCGCGATTTTTCAGTGGTCGCCGATGAATCGTTCGCATGAGGGAAGATTAAACGTCGCAACAGCGCCGGTCGCCGCGGACCAGGCCGGCTGGAAATCGAGCGCGCTTAAAAATGGACCGCGATATTAATAACCAACGTTCTATTCCGCGATGTACACGCGTATATTAAGTCGGAAGAATCGGAGAAACTCGAGAATGGCTGAAGGCAAGAGAGACTCGAAAGCAGCGTGAGACAAGAAAATAAAAGTAAGAATTGAATACAACGTTAGAATATGGAGACTCTTTGATTTTAAATCAGTGTAAAGTTAAGAGACCTTCAGAGATCTGTTGCTCCGAAGACCTTCAACATTTATATCGAATTAACGAGTCGCAATTACAACGCAATTCGACAACGTGAACTGTCTGTTCGATATCGCGAGATTCAAATATATCCCTCGTTTATGTTTATCTTCGTTTGTTTCACGTTTGGTTCACACGCGAGTCGTTCTCGTGGAGAAATGTTTCTCGCACTCACGTCCAGGTATATCTGCGGATCGCTCAATCCCGTGTGTATGGCGGCGCGCAAGGAACCGCGAATGTGGTGCTTCGCCTGGTTGCCATCGCTGTAGCAGAAAATCTCATGAGCCGTCACGCGACTTGGGTCGACCAAGTGAACGGAGAACACATGCCGGTCCAAGTAATCGATTAAGTCGTGCTGCGCCTGCTTGTAAGCGGACCGAGATTGCTGCTGACTCATTTTGAGCAATTTCTGGAAACAGGCCACATGGCGGTCGATTATTTCCTTTTTCCGCTCTCATCGAGTCGAGACGGTTTTCGTGGTTCTCTGAACCACGGATCGTTCACAGACGACGCGAGACAATTTACGTGACTTTACTTTATGTGAAACGATAAAATCTCGTGAATCCCGTACAAAACGCGAGTAGGAGTAGGAGGTCTTTATATACGTTATATCAGATTTCACACACGAGCCGCTTGTTTCGAAGGCAATGTGAGTTCAATCGCAGAAGAAATCGATAATTCCGCTTCGGAATAGTATGAAGCCGTTTCATATATTTCTTTCCTTTTAGCAGGAGACTATTTGAATTATTTAGTCCGTTAAAAGAAATAACTCACATCCCGTCGCATTCGATCAAATGCGAAAGAATCCTAAGCATGCTAACATGCAGAATGAAACGTTAGAGTATCTCGTAACATCACGTTGAGAATACCGCGAAGGGGAAAAGTTAATAAAATCGAGAACGACTGAAGAATATGACTTCGTACATACCTCTTTTAGTTGCAAACGGCTGAGCTTGTCATTCACTGTGACGAGCTCGGAAGAGGCTTTCGCGACGCCCAAACTAGCTTTGCGAATCGTCTCGATGCGAATCTCGAGCTCGCTCTTAATGTTCTCGATGATCGGATCGGCGGAACCGTCGACGATTTTCATGATAGATTCGAGTTTCGAGAGTAGTTCCTCCTTGGACAGAAATCCCAGTAACTTCAGGCTTTCCTTGTATTCCGCACAGCCCGTGAAATTACTCGTGTAAACCGCTTTAGTATAAACCTCCCGCAACTGAAATTATCGGTTTCGCTTGTTGCATCTTTTCTGTGATTTCCATACCACGACACGCAATTTCCTCGTTTGTCGCGTGACACCTCCTCTTGATAAAAAAAATCTCATCGTCGTTCATTTACCTGCTTACCCATCGGCGAGCCTGGTAATGAAGCGACCAGGTAGTGCAAACATCTCAAAGCGATCAAAAATTGATGCATGAATCCGTGAAATTTGTTCAACACAGTTTCCAATAATTCCTGCAAACGACTAAGCTTAAAGCCCGGCAATAATGGAGGAATGCGCACGTAATGCGCCGAACACAATGCGCGCTAATGTACATTTTCTGCTCGTGGTCAATTGTGAAAATTTTATTTCCATTAAGACCGTAATTCGTCAGTGAAGTTTTCATCTCCTCTATTGATCAGCTTTAAATCCAGTTATTCTTCCCCCCCCTCTCCATCTCATTTATCGTATCGAGATAAAATCAAGCCGAAATTATTTGGCAGATATAGCTCGCGCGCGAACGAATAACGCGTACCTTGAATTTTTCATTATCACGTCCGTCATTGTCCTCGCTTGTCGATTTCTTGGACGTTTTTAGGTACTTCGCGATCGATGGTAAGCCTTTAATGTCTGCGATATCCTCGTTACTCAGTTTCGATATTCTACTCTTGATATCCTTTGGGTGGCAACAGAGGTAGCTCATGTTGTTGCCGTAAAAGTGTTGTATCATGCATATCTGAAATTCGCCACGGTTCGCCAAGAACATCAGTCACGATCGAGCGCGATGAAAGGGCGCTCCTCCTCGGATTATCTCGCGCGCGTGTTACCTTGTAATTCTGTAAGAAATGATCCACCGAGAAATCGTAGAACAGAAAGATATCCGTAAGCAACTGAAAGGCGCGGCCGATTAACTTGAACGGTATCTCCGTGGAGAAAACCGTGCTCTCCAACACATCGGACAACGTCTCCACCTGCGTTTGCGTGTAGAACACCTGGAAGAACGACGCATGGTGTAATCGGCGAGAACGTTACGCGTTTCGTAAAGTAAATTCATCAACCGAGTGTTTCGGAGTGTATTCTCCTCGTGTCATAACTTGCCTGCACCGTTAACTTCGACGTGACGTCGTACGTCAATGATCGGTGTACAATGTGCAAGCTGGTCGCGACGCCGAGTATCAGGACGAACTTCAATGTGCTCGTGTAGGAACTGCAAACAATTCGCCGGAAGACGTTACGAAACCTCCTCTGTCGCAAACCTTTGTCGTGATTTTGAAGAAATAATTTTTTTATGTCACGAAATCTCTGTCGTAAACCTTGGTCGTAAGGTTGAAGGACCAATTTTTTTTTTTTTTTCTTAATCGTACAAACTAGACATTTTTTTTCGATCGCGCGAAAAATGTATTCGCAGTTATACGCGATACCTCAGCACCAAGATAAAGTTGTGCAACACGTCGGTCGAAAAGCTCTCGAAATCTGGCAGAATTAGGACCAAGGGATCTTCCATCTCGTGGTATTTGCCGAAATGTTCTTTCAAGGCGCGCATCGTACATCGGGTTTTGGGCACTTTGGGAGCGTCGTCCTGCGAATGGGAGAACACGGTGCGGATATCGGTCGCAAAGTTTCTCAATCCAACGGCGATACTGTTTAGCGAACGAACAAACTAACCGATTGCGATACGTTGACGAGTTGATGTACGGTGTCCTCGATGATGCTCTTCACGTTGCCGCAATTTCTGCTCCACAGCACCGCGATGTGCGGCGTTATCTTACCGAGTTTGGACACCGCCGTGTCGAAAAGCACCACGTAATCGGGGACGTTAACCCCTGCAATATTTCACTTCGCTCAGAGGAGAGGAAAAAAAATATATATCCCCAAAATTTCCCTTCCGCAAACGGGCACCTCATTAGAGGCCAAAATTCGCCGTAGAAATACATCAATTAAAAATCAGACTCGATTCCCAATGAATAGTGTCATGTACGCGCCAAAAAATAGAAACGAAACGATACTATGAATATTTCGCTGGAAGAGCCTTGGAAAGAAGAGGATATCTGATTGATGAATAATTTATTCCCAGTAAACGCGATCAAGCCAAAAACTGAAAAATCGAAGCAACAAATTTATTGAGTCGACGCGAAATGGACGTTCCTGAGTGCGATTTGTGTTCAATTTGGTTCGGAATAATTTAGGCGTGCCGCGAGAAGCAGAACGGGTGCTCCGAGATAGTTAAATCTTTTTGTAAGGAAGTACGGAATATCTCGCTTTCTTTCTTCTTCTCACCTATTAACAGAATGGCTGTGGCTATTTCTTTGGACGTCGCGTTCAGCGGGCTTGTCTTTGCTTTCGACACGAAATGCTCCAAATTGGACATCACTTTGTGGAACATTCTCGATCTCACGTTCTGTAATGATCACGCTAGGATATCATTCGATCTTCGCTACGGGCATTGAATTTTCAGCGTGAGAACGTAAATACCTCTAAGGCTTGTTCGATGTATCGCCACATTTCGCTATAGGCGACGTACCAAGGCTCGTTAGAGTATTCTGGATTCTGAGCGCGGTGGTCCCTTCCCTTCTTCTTCTTCTTCTTTTTGCCGATTGTGTAGCTTCCCTTATGAGCGAACACACCCTGAAAGTTCGCGACGCCGATATCGGCCACACTGTATATAATTTACGCCGATTTTCCCGTGATGTGTTGCATTAACATTAGAGCAACGATAATTATTACTCTCGCTGCTTTGAAATTTAACATTATTAGATTGCATTAGTATTGATTGCCGGAATTATTACACATTGGGTGCATGGTTCATTAATGAAAATTAGAGATTTAATTTTTTCTCTGCAATTGGCGTATATCGCGCACATATGTGCGTCTATATATATATATATATATATATATATATATATATATATATATATATGTGTGTGTGTGTGTATGTGTGTCTGTATATGTGCTGAGTAAATTGTAATGAGTAAATTACAAAGCATGCATACGCATGCATACGCATAAATCGACGAGTACGATATTTATATGATCGACGATGAACGCTTATTATATTAAAAATCGATGCGCGCGCTGCGCGATGCAATTAGTACGCGCGTGTTTTAGGAGAATACGAATCCTCAAAAATATGAATTCTCTCGTCGATTTCATTGTCAAGTTTTAATCGATATATTAATCAATTTTGTATGTTGAGTTTTTGCATTGTGAAGTTTACATAATTGCACTCATGAAGAAAACCATTAACTTTGAAGGAGCAAGCGGAACAACTCCGATCACTTTAAATTTGCTCGTTGCTTTGCTCTTTATCTTTTTGCTGTTAATTAAACGACTTGTGCGATTTCATTACCCCCACCGGCGTCATAAACAATCGAAAGGAGGTATAGCGGAAGTTTCGCTCGCGCGAGGAAGCGACGTATTTTACTCGTCCCGACGTGTACTCGTTAACATTCTTCAATAAACTTTTAACGGCCGCGTAAAAGTGACAGTAATGAATCATCGGGGCGCGCTGCGTTTCAGCCGGCGCACCGCATTTTGAGGTTAAGCCGACGGCAGCAACAGGTTGCACGGCTCGTATCGCTTACCTTGGACATGGAAACATTCTCCATCGCGCGGTCTGCTCGCGTTGTCCCGGCTGCCAATTCGAGTGTCGAATGCACGTCTTAAGTAACCAGCTTGATTAGCAAACGCGAGCAACGAACTACTCTCACACGAGACACACGCAGCACGTCTACCGCGTGTGATCGCGTTAGCGAACCGCCACGGGCGACGATGGCCGGTTGAGTTTGAAAGACGCCGCTAGTGGGCGCCATACGCTGGTCCCGCGGTATCGCCGTCGCCGAGCCTACGCTTTGAAGTTGGCTGCTCTTCCTTTCCACGACGATGGATGCGGCGCGACGGTGAGCAGCCGGGAATGTTCTCCAATTATCCTTGAAACATGAGGTAAAATAGCTTTGCAGGAAAGCGATGGATCGCTTTACAATGCGCTCGTTAACGACTCCCGTGAACCGCAATCGAAGGTCAAGTTCGAAAAAAGTTGATTACAAGTGCGGAGTATTAGGAGAGGTTAGGGCCGAAAGCGCGCTCGAAAGAGAACGAGGAAACAGAGGCGCGTCGCGCCCAAAGGGCTTACAAAACGCGAAGCAATGCAACGACAATACGATTCTATTATCGACGAGCGAGTCATGGTCGCGCAGTTTACGATGAAAGCTCCGCGCGAGGACGAGAATTCCGTTCGTATCGGCCTCTTTTAATCCTGTTATCATAGACTCGCGGGTATCTGCGCCCGCACATTCGCCCGCTCGCACATTGCTCGACTCGTGCGTCCCCGATTTGCATCGTTGTCTCCGTTTGTCCGAGGGATATTTCGCCAAGATGCGATAAAATATCCCGCTACCTCTATCTTTCTCGCTCCGCCGCGACCTGAATATACGCGGCCGATAAGGCGACGCGCGAACACCGTCCCTCCTCTCATCGGAGTGACGTGCATGTTTGAAAGTCGGATTTCGGCTTTTCGGCCGGACGCGGGAGAAACTGGACAGAGGGAGAGAAAAAGAGATTGAGCGGAGATGTCTCGTCGTGTACCGGGATATAAATCGATGCGCAAGCAGCTTTGTCGCCGTGTGGCTCTTCTCGTTTTGTGGCCGGCTGTAGCACCTGCGGCCCGCTTCACGCGGCGCGCCGCGCCGGAGAAAATAAATGCGAATCGATCGGCGGCTTAATCATTCGGCCCCGTTGAAAGAGCGAAATGGCTCCGAGGCCGGGGGGACAAAACGCTCTCTCGCCGTCGCCGGCGCCGGCGCCGACCTCGGCCCCTGAAAGGGCATACATCCGCCCCCGCGCGACTCGATCACGTCGCATAAAGCACCGCTCTCGGCCGCGAGCAACAAGAGAAACGCGCCGGCAGAGACGCGCTATAAAAATCCAGTCGGCGCGAATAAAGCTCTTATTCGTCGTGGAGCGCCGCGCTAAACCCCTCGGCTTCGGAGATCGATAATGCGATCGACGCTCGTCCACGCCTAACCAGTTTTCCTACGTGCCGCGCATTCCCCATAGCGTCGACCGAGCCCTTTCGTTTTCTCTCTCTCTCTCTCTCTCTCTCTCTCTCTCTCTCTCTCTGAATTCGCCGTAGAAGGAAATTCCACCGTCGCGCCAACGTTGTCGTTTTCGGAAAGCTAACGGAAAAATCCGGCGCGCTTTACTCTCCAGCTCGAAGCTCCGAATGCTGTGCTCGCGATACCAGCAAGCACGGTAGGAAACAACTAATCAGTCGCGCATGGAAAGATTCGGATGAATCGGTTGCTTCTCGAAATTTTCCGAAAAACGTTTATTTTGTTCTCCGAGCAACCGCGATTTCCTTACCTCCTGAATTTACGCGCGCGGTGTTTCATAATATATTGAAGCCACGACGCTGCGTATATGCGCACTCGTATTCCCTTCCGAGGCTCCTCACATAACGGAAGGAAGATGAAGCATGCAAGCGTTCGGAGGGTGATTGACGAGACGTCGCGGAGATATAAAAGCATTATATAGCACGGCACGATATGGCGTTCTGATCGGCGCGCGTACATACGCTACGGGACATAAGCCCAGCTCGGAAGGTTAGCTTCGTATCGCGAGAAAGCAGGATGTATCGGACAAAATTTACCTTAACGCGGAGTCCGGAAATGTCCGTCGTGTCTGCTTCGTCTGTCTCACGAGCGACATTCGTCGCTCACGCTTGACCGTTTGAGCGCCGGGAGGACTCATGAAATGACCATGCATGTCCCAGAGACACAAGGTATGCAGGTCAAATGCTAACGTACTCGGAAAAGAAATTAATCCGCGCAATTGTGTCGCTGCAATTAGCCACGCTGCAACCAAGTAACAGTCGCGTAACAGCGTCAAATGATGAAAATAAAAAGCGAAGCGCGATATTCGGCTCTGCATCAAATATGTAAATTTCATCGACTAATAATAACAGGCAATCTCGAGATACGAAATTGCACGGGTGGTCGCCTTCTTTTAACGCTGAGTGGTCACTTTATACTGTTTCCCGTGTTGAGACTTAAGCTAGAGCGCTTGCTAAGAGCTTTCAGAACGGCTCTTGTAAACATTTTTAGGTTACATTGAAAGTAAAAAAAACCGGGAATGATTTCACACATTCAATTGCCACATTCAATATCTGCCCCCCCCCTGCATTTAACTTGCAATATTAACTTGAACAAGAGAAGCGCTCGTTGACATTTCTCGCGCGTAAAACGAAGAGGCGCAATCTCGCAATCCCGGTGACGAAAATCGAAGCGGTCAAACAGTAACGTGCGCGTTGTCGAGATATAAATTTGCGGGAATAAAATTTCGTTTCGTTTCGTGCCGATCGACGATCCGGCTCGCGCTACTGCGTTCTGTACGTACGCAAGACAGGACTCACCTACTGTAAAAGCCAACAACTCGCTTCGACTTTTACGCTCCGAACCGTCGCCATAAATGTTCCGCCTTTCGCGGCGGAATGAGCGGCTCCTCCCGATGTCGTAATCGCACCGCTCCGACAATACGTTGCGGCGGATCATAAATTTTACGATTACCGTACGGCGCGGCTTTCGTACTAGCGGCGTACTATGTATGTACACACACGTACGCATGTACGTGCGTGCGTGCAAAGAATTACCGTTGACGTAATAGTTATGTACGTACGTTAAAAGAGAGATTTTGTGCACTCTCGGCGAAACGACGATTGTTTACGCGCTCGTTAAAGATTCGGGAAAGTAGCCGTGTAGTCGTAGAAGGAAAAAGGAGAAAACAGGACGCGGGGAGGAGCGGGAGACTGAGGGAGATACGCCACAAGGGGAAAGGAGCAGCGACACAAGAAGCCGAAAGGATCGCGGATGTTCCTTCGATCCGGGAGTCGTCAACGGACGACTGCGAGGTACGAGCTCGAAAAATGCTTTCCGGCCCGCCGATAAAACGCCGCTTTGCCGCGCAATTCCGCGCGCAGGGTCGCGGACGGGGAAAATTATTTTCCGACGGGACATCGTCCGAGCTCCGTCGCTCGCGCTGTCGGGGGAAACGAGATTTTGCGGCGCCGCGCGGCCGCTTCTTGTTCCCGAGACTTCCTCCGGGTGAAACGGCCGGTGGTTTGCGAAACGGGACTCAATTCCTGGCGTCCGTAATGAGCGTCATTGTTGGCTCCGCGCAACCCGCCCGCCCGCGCTCCACCGCCGCGACGACGGAGATTGGACTTTCCGAGCTCTCGCGATCGCTCGTGTCGTGAACAGGGTCGTTCTTAGAAACTACAATGCACCCTCGTGATAATCGATAGGAAGAGGCGCGCGGAAGCCCGCGGATTCTTATGCTAAAATCATGTCGGGAGAGCGTGAATATTAGGCAGCGCGAGCAGCAAGGCGATCGCGCGGTTTTCGCTTTATTCGGGTAAAGGTGAGAATTTAGGACGAAGAAACGGTTTACACGAAATGAAATATCCGCGAACATCTGCCTTCGTGTTTAACTCCGTCTACTTCGGGACTGTCAGATTGACGAGGAATAATTTCATATCTCGGAAGCGCGAACGCTGAAATTATTTAATTCCCCGTTACCTCCTAATATTTTTAATCCCCTAAACTTCAATAAGCGATGCAGTGATGATGCGTAGTAGTTTACTGAGTCGTGTAACTTGCGACAAACACAGTTGGGAAAGAATCCTGGAATTGAAAACTAATATTTTACCGAGAAGCGGGTCTTAGCTAACTATTTATTTATACAAGTTTGTTCTCTCGCACCGTCGTGAATTTCGCATGACATCAACAGTAGCAAGGGCACGGCTGTCTATTATGCCCTACGGGCGTGTACGCGTGTACATTCACAAACACACGTATATACAAATACTGTCGCGGAAGAGGAAAAACCTCAGTATTACGAGGACGTTCTGCCGGTAACGGGATAATAAAGCGGCGAGCTTTGTAGCTCCGTCGCAGACTTTTTGAAGTTTGCTCTATCTCCAGCTTCTGCTGCCGTTCACCTTTCGCGTTATTTTTAGCGTTTTTTCCTTTCTCTCTCTCTCTCTCTCTCTCTTTTGTACGCGCCCTGTGTCTTTTTACGGGAAATAAAAATCTCCCAATTCCGCCGAGAATAAAAACATCAGGAAACTTCTCGGACCCGAGGAACTAAAACCCGCGCTTCTTCGCCGGTAGTCCTGCGAGAATTCAAGTATAGCCGTTTCGCGGCGACCACCGCGAAGAAACACTTCACCGACTACAGGAGCAGCTCGCGCGTATTTTGTCATGCCACGAAACGCTGACGAGACATCGTTCCCTCTTTGTGTGGGTTGCAGCGAACCGGCCTCTGACGATCGAGGAACTCAGGGATTCGATATCCTCCGAGCTGGACGGCAACCCACCCCTATGGATCACCAGGATACCGACCACGCACGGTGTGGAGGTCTACATCAACAATGCAAAGATCCTCTTGGAGCAGAGCAACTTCCAATCGAAGCTGAAGGTCAACGGCGACACTTTGACTCAGGTGAGTGTTATCGTGTTTTTTTGTAGAGCTTACAAGTGTCCTTGGAGCTTACAATTGAACCCTCGGCATATAATCAGGATCTGTTAGACTCAACTGTAATTTTTGAATTTCTCTCTCGACCACGTTCAAGTATTCGTAAGAATCTCTCTTGGTTTTTGTTGTCTCTTACAAGTTTTCCGAAGGGAACAAAGGGAAAATTTATTTATTTCATTTAGTATTTATTTCGTGTACAATTTAATTCTTTAATTTAGGATCATGATTAGGATCACGACAATATACCGAGGGTTAACAATTATAAATAATTAAATAAGGCAAAAAACGAGATGTTAAGCTCGCCGTCGCGGGCAAACGCTCGTTTAACTCTCGCGAGACGGGCAAAGAGAGGAGAGAGCCATCTGGAGACTCCAGTCTTCTGGAGAACATTCGTTCCGGCACGCAATCGCTTTTATCCCCTCACACTCGATCTCCACTTTTCTGACCGATTTCCCGGTGGCAACGTCCGCGTCACTTGAAGCATCCCGGCGTGCCGGTGGCGGCGGCTTTCTAACGAGCTTTTAATGAGCTTTACACGCTCGCCTTAGCCGCGAGACCATTAGGTTGATGAATATCACGAGCCTCGATAATGTCGAACGGCGCTTCCTGGCATTCGCACTCTCTCTCTCTCTCTCTCTCTCTCTCTCTCTCTCTCTCTCTCTCTCTCTCTCTCTCTCTCGCGAGAGCCATCAGCTCCGGTTATCGATGGAACGCGTCCGGACGCGGCGCCTTGCAAATTAAACTCGGTGGTTTAAGGCTCGATTTATAATAATCAGCGCGCACTCAGCTGTATCTCGCCAAGTACTACGATTTTATACAAGAAATTTCATTCCCCTTATTTTAATAATCAAATGACCGGTTGAAACGTTTCACAATCTATTAACGATGATTGATAACGATAATCGATGGATAATCGAAAGATCTCATTTCGGCTTCACTAAACGATCTGTGCAATTCCGTCGTCCGAAATTCTCTCTCTCTCTCTCTCTCTCTCTCCCCCTCCCTCCTCCAAGAAGTGGCTGAACCGCGAGCTGCACAATCACCGTGAATTTTCGGAATCTCGCGGCACAATGAATCCCCTCATCGAAAGGACCGCATTCCGCGCGATTCCGTCGGCTCGAATCGTTCTCCGTGCTAACGCAGCCGAGCGATTCCGTGAAGGGTTTGCGAGAGGAACTTCGTCGTGAGGTAGCCTTTTTCGAACGATCGTAAATTCGTCGTCGATAGCGTATTCACCTCTCTTCGTCGTATCTCAGCTGATTTCGGTTTTCGGCTTTGCCGAAAGGGGAAAGGTGGATCTCATTTCGGGTTCCCAGACGGATCCTTTAATCTATAGTTAAAGTACCATCACCTGATGAAAATCGCACGGGGCTGGCTGGACTACGACTAATCCCTTCGACGAGCTCACCCGCAGATCAATCTCTCCATCTCTCTGTCTCTCTTTCTCTCTCTCTCTCTCTCTCTCTCTCTCTCTCTCTCTCTCTCTCTCTCTCTCTCTCTCTCTCTCGCTCTCCCACTCTCCTCCCCCCTCTCTCTCTCTCTCTCTCTTTCGCTTCTCGGTAATATTAGGGAAACTTTTCTCATCCACTTAACCCGGAAGTTTCATTGCCTCTGCTACTTCCTGCTCGTTACCGGAGCATGAAAATATCAGCCTCTATAAGCTCTATCGGCGTCTTTCGCTACATTTTTTAATAGATACAAGCCGGAATCGAGAGTCGCGTCGTCGTTTTCACCAGTCGTGAAAAAAGTCGCGTACTCGTGAGATTCTCGAGGAGACGCGAGTTATTTGCAATTTTTGACGTTGGTTGCGAAGGAAAGAACAGTCCGCCGAATTGAACGCACGTTGAGTATAATCTCAAATCGCCGCGTCAGATTTAATATTGATTTAATGTACACAGCTGAACATTACTTTTATTATCCCGCGGGGATTGACGTAAAAACTGCAATTTCCATGTTGTACACATTCCGCGAGAATTAGCGATAATGATTGATTGTAATATTATCATTAATAAACGCGAGTGCGCCAATTAGCCTACCGAATAGCCCGCGACCCGCTGCAATAACTTACATTAATCATCCGTAATTATTAATTGCACGGTATCGATTCAATAACGCGTGATTGATAGGAGTGGTCGGACGAAAGTGAAATAGCGGCCGCTGCGTAACCGCGAGTCGATTATCGCAGATTACTATTATAATTAACGAACAGGCGAAGACTTCGAGTTGCAGACACGCGTAAAACGTCTCATGATTCGATAAGATTCACCGACGATTCGATTAACTTCTACGAGCCTCGAAATAATCTCCTCGTCGTTTTAAAACCTCCTTCCATTCCTAAGCATTATTATCGACATCTATCTTAAGAGATTAATAATTTTTTTCGAATAAAATGGACATCAACTCGGTATTTCTTTTTTTTTTAGACGTCTAACGAAAGCTTTTTATTTTTCTTTTAATATTGCCAAAATTCCGTACGACAATTTAATAGAAGAAAATGACGGATCTTCCTCACCAACATGATATTTTTTATAGAGCCGCGCTACTTGCGAACACGTTCGCTTCCCCACGAGCGAATTGCTCGCGTAATTTTTTTTTTTTCCGGCAACTCTCGCGGAATACGAATACGCGCGAAGGTGTCGCGAAACATCTCTCCCGGGGTGTGCTGCATGCGACAATAATGCGAGCTGTCTCGACAATGGAGCGGGTCAACGATCCGCTTTCAGTCGGCGCGTCCCGCGAGCGCGTTGCATATCTATCAACTCAAGAATGGATTTATGCGCATTGCCTCCCCCGGCCCCGATCTCCTCCCCCTATCGTACGTATCGGTAACAGACGTACGATATTCTATTATCCGGCGTCTCGGACGGAAACTCGCGGAGCTTCAACCGGCGCGTTTGATGGAGAGAGATGTTCCGCCGACAGCGAAACTCGATGCTTTTCGCGAGCCGCGAGAGCCTCGCGCTTTTTAGCCTCCACCGACGAGCAATCGCTCCGGGATACCCTCGCTTACGGCACGTCTTCTGTCGCGATTTCTCCCTCTCTCTTTCTCTCTCTCTCTCTCTCTCTCTTTTTTTTTTTTTCGAGCTCAGCCCGAACGCCCGCGCACGATTCCGTTCGTCGCGATGTCGCGAGTTACGTCCGTCGATACGTTACGATCGCGTCGCAATTCGGCGTGAACGCGCAACCTTCTCTCTCTCCTTCTGCCGTAACTGTCCGTTCCGGTACTTTATGATTATAGACACTGTATTTACGATACGCGTCGGATTAGAAATACAGGCCGAGACCGGGGTGCGCACTATTTTAAGTCGGCCGTAAATAGCCTATACGGTTAATTCCGCCTTATTCCTTATGCATCCGACTCGAGCGGAGCGACCCTGAAGAGTTTTATCGCCGGAACGTGGCCCGCATTCTTCGGCCGCGGCCTACTATTAAAGTCCCAATAACATTTTCGGTGTATGTGTGTGTGTGTGTGTGTGTGTATTCAGCGCTCGATCATCGTCACGTTTTCCTGGCCGTTATCCTTCCTTTGCCACGCATTTTGTCGTTTCAAGAGCCTTTTCGTTTCAATTCACAGGGAATATCGCGCGACGATAAACTCATCGTAGAAACTTGGCCGACGTGTGACGGCTGGGTGTCTCCCCCTTTCTTCCCCCTTTCTCTCTCCTTTCTCTCCCTTTTTTCCATCGCCGTGCTCTCAGTTATCGCGCAATTTTTTCGCGAGATATAGATTTTACGGAGTCTTAAGAGGATACTACGACGAGCTTCGATTTCCTGATGGATCGCGCAGGAAGTCGAAATAAAAGGGGGAAGAGCGTGGGAAGGAGGCCTTCATTCCCGAAGTTATGGCCGGTTTTATTACGTCAGCCCGCTCGTAAGAACGAGAGAAATCCGAGAGGTTCCGATCCAATTTGAAAATATATTCGCAGATTTGTTGCCACCCTTCTCTCACTCCCTCTCTCCCTTCTTTCTCCTCCCTTCCCTCCCTCGCTCTCTCATTTTATACCGGAAGATACAATACGGTATTACTTCCTGACGATTGAGCGACATTTTATTCAGCCGCCGGTAAACACAGAACTCACCCCTGCAGTCCCGATCCCGACGCGAATCTCGTAACCGGATCCTCCCTCTTGCTAGCGCGTCGCCGAGTTACAAAAATCATTTCTCCCCGTAATGTTGCCCGATTCAGTTTGCGAACTCGTTCCGCGCTTTCGTGCGCGGCCTGACGAGACGATGAAAGATTCACGAATTGAAACAACGACGGCGCTCGAATTTCAGCAGAGTTCGTCGTATCGCATCATCGTCAGGGATGCACCGCGTGGTTCAAAGCGAGAGAAACGAGAGAGACGAATAGAGAGAGAGAGAGAGAGAGAGAGAGAGAGAGAGAGAGAGAGAGAGAGAGAGAGAGAGCACAGCGGCAGGCGGTGTTTTTAATCTCAAAAGACCGTGGGGGTTTTTGATCTCATTATACGCCTCTGGAACGCAGCCATCCCTCCGAGTCCCTCGCGTGCTCCTGTTTTCTAACAATCTAAAGAAATTCCAGTCCGAATAACTACACTGACGCTGGTAGGATCGCCTAAAGAGTTACGGTTAATGGAGGGGAAAAATGCCGGGACGATGGGAAGGGTTGTTGCCGAGAAAGGGAGAACGAGTGCGCGAACGGAGCCGGGCCGGGGGCTGGAAGGGCGGGAGGGAACGTCGGGGATGCTCGAGTGCACCGGGAGAGCCGGGGCTGGTGGTGCGAGCGGTTTGTCCGCGGAGAGGAGAATTGAAAATCAGCCACCGCGTGGCGGGCGCGCTTGGCGGAATAGTTTCGAGAAGGGGATGAAGTTTTCCGCTGGCGGGTCTGGAGAGGAAGAAAAGTATCGAGGTGTGAGCTCTTCGTATCGCAGTTTGCGGGAAATAAAGATGCTGTCAGTCGGTCGGTCGGTCGGTCGGTCAGCTGGAAAATTCATGTTGCCGCCGAGAGG